CCTTGGCTCCTGAGAAGTCCCTTTCATTTAATTTCTGAGATTTGAGAAAGAATAGGCTCAGATGGCCCGCAGGAGAAAGAATTTATAGAAAGGCACTAAAAGTAGAGAGTGGAGGAATGAAGAAGGGATATAGATGGACATATGGAGATTTATTTATCTATCCATGTACCTATTTTAAGGAAGCAATCTGAGAAGCAGAGATAATGTTAGGATACCAAACAAAAATAAATCTCCAAGAATTATGTTTCTTGATTTAGAAAAAAATATTAAATTAATACAGTAATATTTATATAGCTTAAAAGGGATCATTTTGTTAATCAAAGGTACTGACAGGTAACAATAGGAAGCCGCCTAACTTTCCCAATGCTCTAATCACACTGATAAAATCATATCTATAAAGACCACTGACACACAACTTAACCAGTACAATGAATAAAAATGTCCCTCTTAAATTACTGTAGCCACATAGCGATCAACCACCTTCTAAAAACTAAACAGCATTCTTGTCCCTGGTCTTGTATAGCAATGTCTTTACAACTTCTGGTCCATTTCTCCCAGCTCCCTTTTGCTCTATGGATCAGCTTTCATAATCTTGCCCGAGCATTTGAGGCTTTCTGGAATTTCATCCTACTCTTTAAGGTCCCTACCAATCAGGCCATTTCAATTCCTTGAGACTTCCTGCACAGGCCATGCTTTCCTCTACTGTTGTAGGTGGCCCGAAATGAAGACAATCAGGCCCTCTTCAGAAACATGCTATAATCTATAGGTCTAACTGAAAATTAGACACATGAACATACAGAAAAAAAAAATAAACAGTAACTACAGGCATCCAAAAGCCATGATAGTCATAACTTTTAATGACAGTAAACAGATATAAACAAATTTAATCTCTCAAAGCAAATAAGGTAAAAGTATTTATTTCCCACATTGTATTCATCTTCCTTGAGTACTTGCAAGTTCATTAATAGCTACAGTTTCCCACAACACACTTCCCCAAATAGTCCTCAGACGCCAGTTTCCGGTACAGAGTTAGAGAACCACAGATAAGCAGCATCAGCATATCACCCATTCTGTCTAAGGTCAGCACTGGAACTGGGAAACATGAGAGTGCTCAAACCACGAAGCAGCTGTCTTTGGGGCTCTGCTCCTGAAGAGGAAATAGCAAGTCTGATGAGTATCAGACCCATACTAATGATACTAAGCAAGCAACCAGAGAACCTAAATGGGAAGAATTGGTTAAGAGAGAAATTAATCAAAACAGGGAGCACAACTTAGAACGTCTGTGTTGTTATAACAACTATTATTCCCCAGATGAATTATGGCTGTTGATCAGATATAAAGTCACTGCCTAGAATTCCAGTGAACTGTTGCTACATAAAATTTGTGGATCACATTGCTACAGTCTACTCAAATTCCACTTTGATTTGTCCTGGGTAGAAAAAAAGGTTTATTCAACATGCTTCAAATTTATCTACTGTCCTCAGAAAATCATTCTCAAGTGGTATATTAAGTAAACACTTATTAGCTGAAAAGATAATCTATCTGTAAATTAATACTGTCATTAAAACAAAGACTCCTATGCTTTCCCAACCAATTCAAGTTACGTTGAATTGAAGGAGTACACTGCTGCTCTTAACGTTGGATACTTTCTCAACTGTGCTTTCACTAACACAATGACTTCATTTCCCATGAATGATAGGATCAAACAGGGACTAGTCACACAGATAAGAAATTGTTTTATTTTGTGCCATTCCAAAATGAGATCACACATCAAACAAAGGAGTGTTAAGATGGGGAAAGAAGAAGTTGGGCATAATCCTATCTATTAAAGAGGTAATATGCAAACTGACCATCACTCTAACACACAAGATGGCTGCCCCCATGTGGACCCAAGATGGCCTGGAAGGGAGGGGAGTTGGGGGCGATCAGGCCAGCAGGGGAGGGCAGTTGAGAGGGACTAGGCCTGCAAGGGAGGGCAGTTGGGGGCGATCAGGCCTGCAGGGGAGGGCAGTTGGGAGGGGACCAGGCCAGCAGGGGAAGGCAGTTAGTGGTGACCAGGCTGGCAGAGGAGGGCAGTTGGGGGCGACCAGGCCGGCAGGGGAGGGCAGTTAGGGGCGACCAGAATGGCAAGGGAGGGCAGTTAGGGGTGACCAGGCCTGCACTGGAGGGCAGTAAATTGAAAAAAATAGAAGCAATACTATAATTTGCAACTCATGAAGCCAAGCATCTTTTTATTTTATTTTATTTACTTTAAATATATTATGTGATGATAAAAGGGGGGAGATCCAAGAGTACATACTTGCTTACCTATTGTTATCAGCCTTAACCCATGTGACTTGCTTGGCCAATGAGATCTAAGTGAAAGTGATCTATACCACTTCCAAGCAAAAGATTTAATGTGGTTCTGCTGTGATTTTCTTTTCCCTCTATTGTGAGAGCAGTATGTCTAAGGTAGAGGGTGCAACTTGAATCTTGGTCCAAAAGCAGAGAGGGCACAGAGCAGAGCCAAAGCCAACCCACCAAGGCCATGTAACATGAGCAAGGAATAAGATATTGTTACTATAAGTACAGAAGATTTGGAGGTTGTTCCTGCAGCATAACCTAGTGAAAGTTGACAGTAATAAAATAAATGCAAATTGAAATACTGAGACCATATTTTACACCTATATGATTGGTCAAAATTAATGTCTGATACATGAAGTACTGATGACAACGTGGAAAAAAACAGCAGTGTTGTTGATTGGAATTTGAATCGGCACAACCCCTTTGGAGATCAGTTTGGCAATATATGGAAAAACTGAAGCAATAAAACTTATCAACCTAGTAATTCCATTGCTAGGTGCCTACCCTGAAGAAACTCTTGCACAATAAACAAGGAAGCGTGTAAGATAATGTTTACTAAAGTATTGATGGTTATACAATATAAAGATATTATGCCTCAGCAGAGAAATGGATAAACTGGTTTGGTGATTCAAAGGAATACTATACATCAATTAAAAGAATAAAGTAGATTTACACATCATGAAAAGACACAGGGAGAACAAGAGGAGATATGGGAATGGGACTTTAGCAATGTCTTCAATGTTTTATTTCTGGTTAATATGCAACTGTCTCTTCTATTATTTCTAAATTTTTATATTTTAAATATATCATGATTTTAAAAAAATAGATTTAAACTATAAGTCTTGAGTGTTGGTGATTAGAAAGAACTTCAGAGATGGCAGGGGTCTTCTGGATTATCTAAGTAATTCTATATTCAATAGATGAAGTCAATTTCTGGCCTCAGTTTGGCACAAAGAGGTTGAGTAAATGACGAAGGTCACATAACAAGTTATCAAATTGGTTTCCAAAATCTAGACTCCCTAACTTCTAGGATACGTAGGAAAAAACAAGAGACATGTGGTCATGTATTAGAGTTAAATTTAGAACACCATTCTATTGTTTTCCTTATAATTCCCTACTTCTACTGCTGAGGCATACAACATCATTCTCTCTCTCCTCTTCCTCTCCTTCTCTCTGAGATTTAAGGATTATTAATTCTTGTTGCAACTCCTTTTCTTGAAACAACTGAAATAGAATAATTATCACTAAATGAGTTAAAAACAAAGTTATAGAAAACTAATACAAAGATAAAAGCAAGGACCATGAATCATTCATCTTAGTGGTTCAGTGGCCAGGTTCATGACCTCCAGAATCAAACTGCTGGGGCTAGAATCCAGGCTCCACCTCGGGCTAGCTATGAAACTTTCGGCAAATTACTTAACTTCTATAAGCCTATATTCTCCCACTGTAACATTGGCAATATCCATAATAATGCCTACCTCAGATAGATTCTTATAAATATTATGAGATAATCTATTCAAAGCTCTTCACACAGTTCTTCAGTAAACATCAGTTATAAGTATATATCATGTAAATAAAGTGATTTAGCTATGAAAAGCAAAAACTCGTTTGATTAACATAAAATTATAAGGTGCTAGATACTTCTTAAAAATTACATTGATGTCAATCAGCATCAGAGCTAATGAATTACATGCTTTGAAAATCATGAGTGTTTTTTAATTAAAACTAAATAAAGGAGCTAGATGTTAAATCATTATCTGGCTCAGGACAAAAACACTTGGGGTTAAAGTGCTGAAATTTCATGACTCTAAAATGTCAACCTAGTGCTATCATTTCTACAGAGGTAATATTCAAACTATTTAAGGCCCATTCAGAACAGTCACCCGACAATATACAGGGTGTCCCAAAATTCGCACAAGATTTGAATTTTGCGTGAACATTAACCCCTTCCCCGGCAGAAACGTGTATATACGTTTTCACAAAATGTTCTTTTTTCAGTCGTCGACGAGTATACTCGTCTAAAAACTTTACCTTCAAAAACCAGCTACATACGTACCATTCTAAATAATTTCATCTAGAAACTTTCTGAGGAAATACTATTTTTAACCACAAAAATGGGAAGAAAAAATAATTACAAACTGTTTTCATAACCAGCATCAAAAATACTATATAGAACCAAAATAAAAAAATTAGTCTGAAAAAGAAACGTTTTTAACAAAAAAATTATTGGGGAAAGGGTTAAAAAATAAATGCATTTTTCATCATAATATCAAAGCCGTGGAGGCCATTTACCCAATGTGCTATTCCATACATAACCCTATACTGTATACTTTATGAATCAATAAAAAATTTACAATTTTTAATTATAAACCTGTGTTTTCTATCAAAATTACTTCTTGCGTGAATTTTGGACACCCTATATATGACGAGTGCAGACCGGGAGATCAACAGCCCTATGTATCCTTAAGGGTCCGAAATTATTGTTTGTAACAGAAATGATGACCCTCTTCTATATTTTCTTGTTTTTTTGTAATGCAAAACTGTGACCATCTAATCACAAGAACACAAAAATTGTGCCATGCCACAAACGAGGGCAGAATGCACTTCTGCTTGCATTCCACACATCAGGAGGCTCTCCTGTCAGTGCCCTGACTCACCTCTAGGTCACAGCTGTACTCGGTGCCGTCCAGGAGGGTCACTTTACACGGGACACTTTTGGTCTTCTTGGTGGCTTTCTGAACGGCCTTTTCTGCGTTTAGCTCATTGGTCTGCACTTCCTTTGTCTCCCTTTTTGCTGCTTCCTCTGACTTGTCTTCCTGTATTTCCTTTACCTTCTCCTCCTCTCTCTCCTCCTTCCTCACTTCTTCAGCAGGCTGATGATGAAAAACAAATGAAGTTTATACTAAAGTTGACCAATTTTCAGAAAACAACACATTAAAAGGAAATCCTAGTAAGAATGGTGATTGTTACAAGTACTGTATAAGATTTAAAAAGACTTCAAATGTTTGCTAGAAAAAAATACTTCTCCACATCCTCTTTCCCCCAATCCACTGCCAATTTCTGCCAAATTGACCATTTGAGCATTAAATGAGTAAAATAAACTACATCCTGGCAACTGCAATTTAAATATTTTAAACAGAATCTCCAATTATAATCTCACACCATGGCAAACCTAGGTTTCATTACACAACCAAAATGCACACACATAGAAATCTATTTCTTCCTACTCGCTGGACACTTAAATAAATCAAATCAAGGAGGTATAACATATTATTACATATAACATATTAAATAATAATACATATTATTTAAAAGGAGAGGTGACAGGATTCTCAGAGCATGTTGAACCTTAAGAGAAACAGAAACTTTTTTATGGTGTGCATATATAGTATTTTTTTTCTCTTTGTTATTTTGGAAATTTTGAAAAGGAATAATAGGAGAAGGCTGTGGTAAACCACTCCAAGACTCATATTCCAGATATAGTAAGTCAAACCAGGATCTTAATGCAAGAGATCCATAAATGATTCAAAGCAAACAAACCCTTTTTGTTATGTGGCTATACCATCAAGCTATCATTCCACACCATCGCTTCTCAAACATACCTGTGCCTCAGGACTGCTCACTGAAGGTTTCTCTTCCTCGATGTCAACTTTAATGACCTGTTGTTTTCTCTGAGCTGCTTCCTCAGCATCACCCTTGGCCTGCCTTTCTTCTTCAGGAAGAGATTCCTCTTTATCTAAAACCTGCTCTTCCACAACAGCTTGGGTAGGCTCTTTCTTATCTCCTCCATCTTTGGCCACTACTAAGTTATAGGACTTTTGTTTCTTAAGCCACGGGGGTATGAATCGAGAAATGCCCCTACTCTCAGATGGATCCTTCTGCCTCTTCTGGCGCTGTGTACTACTTTGGCTTTTAGCTGAAGGAGATGATTGGGAATCCTTTTCCTCCTCTAGATCAGATGACTGATTCTGCTGATTTTCTGCTGCTTCTTTAGGTTTCTCCTTGGTTGCATCTGCTCCTAACTGGTCAGATTCCTTCTTCACTTCAGACGCGGAGCCAACTTCAGTAGTCATGGTCACAGCTTATGCTATAAACAAAAAAAATCACAAAAAGGTCTTTTACAACCTCTCCTAGGTTAGAGGCAAGAGACAGGATAAAAAAGGATGGGAAGGGGAATGGCAAAAATATGGGGTTAAAACCCCATAGAAAAAGAAGGTTCATAAGCATAAGAGAAAAATGGAGACTGCTACTCTAACTTTGAGAATTCTCTAACAGAATCAAAGAACCAAAAGAAGCATCACAATGGAATTAATTCTGATTCTGTACAGACAGAACTTAAAATCATCAAGAGCTCGAGTGTAATTAATTTTCTTTGGTTTCATCTAGCTATAAATAATAATTCACCCCAAAATCCAATTTTTAAGTATCCCTTATTCTATAATGCAAAGTATTATTGATGTTAGAAAGTACTGAGACACATTTCACTGAAATTTCACACATTATAACTAAATGTTAGGTATTAAAAATATTGTTAAATACTGAGTGCTTAATAGCAAGAAAATTATATCTGTAATATGCATACTTTTTTGTTTCAATATTAAATCCCATAATTCACCATCACTTTTCCAATGCAAAAGACAGTCTTCTGGGAAAGGTACTCAAACTATAACCAAAACTCCAAAACTCCACCCCACCCAATCGCAAACATAGTTTTGTGTATATGTTTACAAGAAAATATCTACAGACCCCTAATCAGAACCAAATGAAGACATGAAAAAAAAGCATCTAATAATTGATCCAGTAACAACTAATGAAAACAAAATTGAAACTAAATCTGAAAGCAGCTGGTTATCTACACAAGCAAAGAGGGACTTTTAAAGCATAGCAGCACCACTGACAAAAACCAACAGGCAGGCACGGCAGAGACAGAATGTTCTCTCCTCTCTCACCGCTGATTAAAATGTCCACCTGGGGCAATGGGAAATTTCCCAGCTATCTTCAAGAGATATAAAAATAAAATACACTTTTTAAAGCTTTATTGAAATATCATTCACAGACCATAATATTCACCCTATTCAATTATACAATTAATGGTGTTGAGTATATTCATAAGGTTGTACAACCATCACCACTATCTAATTCTATAATATTTTCATCATCCCAAAAAGAAATTCTGTATCCATTCATAGTAACTCTCCATTCTACCCCCTCCACCATCCCTACCAACCACTAATCTACTTTCAGCCTGATGGATTTGCCTACTGTGTACATTTAAAATAAATGAAATTATACAACACGTGTCATTTTCACTTAGCACATTTTCAAAAATCATTCAGGTTATAGCATGTATGAGCATTATAATTGCTTTTTAAAATATTATTTGCCATCTTGTGTCAAGCACTGACAAGAGTCTAGTATCCAGAATATATCAAAACCCAACAATTTTAAAAAAATGAGCACACAATAGAGTAAACAGATATTGAATTGCAAAGTTGTATACCTGAAATTTATATAATGTTATCAACCATTGTTACCTCAATAAATGTAATAATAAAAAATAGAATGAACCCCAGAGTTGATCAGTATTGCCCATCTAACTGGAAGTTACAAGATAAAAAAACAACAACAATGGAAATGGCTAATTGGATTGCAAATACTCAACAATAAGGATGGATGTAATTATATGTAAATAAGTACATTCTTAAAATAGTTTCAAAAAATTAACACAGCTAAAACATAAATACTACCTTCTTTGTTGATAAGATGGTTTCTTGAACAAATTACCACCATCAAGAAAACATGATTATAGCACATCCATTCACCATAATTATCATGCTTGTAACTCTCTGAGTTTCGAAGATGGATAAGCCTTTAAACTCCATCACCCACTAACTCCTGCAGTGGAACGCAACCCCTCCCACTAAAATGAAAGCCCCAGAGGGCTGGGGTCTTTCTTCTTTTTTACTGCTGTGTTCCCAGCATCTAGACTGGCACATAAGAGGCACCTGATAAATATTTACTGTGTGAGTGTTGCAAAATGATCTAATCTAATACCCTTAAGACCCTCACTTTATCTTATCAACAAGGAAACTGAGGTTCAGAAAGACTAGAAGATTTGCCTGAGATCACAAAGCTAGATGGGCATAGACAAAACCAGAACTATAGTTTTCCAAACTCTAACAATGCTCATTCCAAAAGCTTTAATTACAAATACCTAAAATCCATCATTAGTAAGTTATATAACATAGTAACTAAAGACCTTTCTACTTATCCTTAATCAAAAAGAACATTGCTGTGAACAGCCAGCCCATTAGAGAAGCATGTGGTTTTGACACAATTACCACGCTGGCATACTCCATCTAGATTGATAAAAAGTGTTAATTATTGTAACAGCTCCATGAGAAAAAGCATGCATCATTTAAACATGCAACCAAGCAGAAAACCAACATCAATAGAGGATCAGCACTGGTTAGGTAAGGAGACTTGTTATGTGAAACCATTCTTTTTCTAGTGTTTAAAAAGGAAAGTAAATTCCAAGGTGCTGTCTCTACCACTAACCCAGTGATGGAGAACCTATGACACACGTGTCAGAGGTGACACGCGAACTCATTTTTTGGTTGATTTTTCTTTGTTAAATGGCATTTAAATATATAAAATAAATATCAAAAATATAAGTCTTTGTTTTACTATGGTTGCAAATATCAAAAAATTTCTATATGTGACACTGCACCAGAGTTAAGTTAGGGTTTTTCAAAATGCTGACACGCCGAGCTCAAAAGGTTCGCCATCACTGCACTAACCTAACATTCCTACCCTATAACATTATCCTCCTGAAAACACTGGCCCTTTATCAGAGTACCACACCAAGCAAAACGAAGCAGTTACACAACTCTAGACATACAAAGAACTTCAAGCAAGCGGGTTCATGCTAATTATTGGATCCAGATGTTTCCTTAAGACCTTGAGAGAACCACAGCTACTCTGAACCCTCCCTGTTAAAATTCTTGCACAGGGAACAGGGTGGGTGCTGCCGCTAGCTGAGTGGCTCCCATCCTCTGCTGAGATCACGAGCAATAAGAGATCTTTAATTTCTGCCAATAGTGCTCAGCCCATTATTTAGGGACTCAATATTTACAAAATGGGAAAGAATGCCTTTCTAAACCTCAAAAATGGTGAGAGGTTGGAGAGAAGCTTTCCTCTGAACTTTGAGAAAGACATAAACAAAATTGTGCAAGAAATAAGAAACCTAAATAACATTGGCAAGGTGTGCACAGTTCCAGTTTGGTCATTTTCATCTATTATTGTGGCAAAGGATATGTAGAGCAACCTGCTAACACCCACAATCCCTTGCTTATGTTCATCTCCCCAAATGTCCTGTAGTCTAACAGACAGTCTTTTTAATATCCTACTAACTTCCCTTACAGCATTAAATGTAGAAAAACAAAGACAGTGAATGAAATATAGGAATGATTCAGCAGCCACCTAACTCTACTTGGAACATACTAGTAATAAGAGTGATGCTTTTCAAATACTGTATAGCCAGCATGTAAAAAGAGGAGAGGAGTGACAAGGAGGAGGAGGAAAGGGAGGAAAGAGGAAAAAGAAATAACAAAAACAGACTGACAGAGCAGACTGCAAGTAATTCCTCCCTAGTAGTATGTTTGTTTATCTTAAGTGTCAGATGGGCTAGAAAATACTATATCCCCTATTCAAGTACAAATACATTCCAAAGAGACTATTTATTGGTTTATATTATCTATATGATGAAAATAAACAAGAATTCGTTTTTAAATAATCCAATGTTGCCTATCCTAGTTACTTTCATAATAAATTATATCACTTGTTTGTTTGTTTTCTTAAAAGAGATAAAGGACATCTATGAGAGAAGAAATATTTCTATAAAGATAGAAGCTAAAAAAAAAAAAAGATACAAGCTAGCATCTGCTTTAAATTAAAACCACACATACAAAAGATATGAAGGGTAGGCCTTTGCTAGTTCAAGTCTAGGCAGGATCAGGTTACATTCAGAGCATGTATATCCTCCATCCTTTCTCCTTTTTAACAGAACCCAAATTTTGTTCAGCTTTCCTCTCTTCCACATGTGTGTCGATGGAAGCTGGTCTAGGAATCATGGTAGTCCCTCTCCCCATGCTAAGAAGACATGCAAAAAGTCTGTTGTAAGCTTCTGGGAAAAGATTCCTCCCTCTTAAAGGGGCCACAGGGAAGAGAAGGCCCTGCTTTCGCCTCGGAGCATTATTTATATGACTGCAAGAAATGCTGCTGCCACCTTGATAATCCCGGGAGGAGAAAGCCTGAGGAAAAAGACACATAGAAGAGGGCACTGGCAAGAGAATCAGAGGAGAGGACTTGAGCCCTCAGTATGCTGCATACACATGGCCAGGATGTTTGAACTTCCTGTTATGTGAGACAATATACTCCCCTATGGCTCAAACTACTGAGCCAGGGGTTTCAGTTACTTGTAGTTACTATTGGCCTCTGCATATTATATTATAGGAGGCAAGCAGTAGAAAATAAGCCCTAAGAAACTGGTAGTACACTTAGAACCAGCTCAGGTAATTATTACTCCTCACTGTATTTTATGGCCCTCACACCTAAGAGCCGTGGTTGTCAAAATGTCTAATTTTTTCCAGATGCTCATTTTTTAAAAACCTATTATCTGAGTTAATACTAGTGAGATAAACCATTCATTCTTTATTCTAACAATATATAAGAACAAAACAAAAAAATCTTAGAGTTCATCAAAGTGTAAGATTCCCTGTGTAAGAGAAGGGGGCATGTCTGAAAATCACAGCATAATTTTCAAAAATGTCCAATTCCAGTAGTGCTAACAATCTTATGTGCTAAAGCAAGCCCCTGCTGCTCCCATTCAGAATTAGGTCAAGAAAGAGATCTGTGCCAGGCAAAGTCTCCACAAGTAATGAGGTCATCCCAAAAACACTCTT